AATAACATTCTCTGCAAGAATCTCACATTACGTTCTCACTAACTAATACAAGGTCAAAAACAAGGCCTTGAACATGTATCACGACTGCGCACCAAGTCATGTGCCTAAACCGCCACAATCTCATGCCTAAAAGTAAGCAAATCATAAGATGAGCATATAAGTATTAATAATGGAGTATTTAAGAAAGTGTCTAATCACATTCTTCCCATTTTATTCTATCATTCTTCAAGGCTTCGTTTTGTGAGACGGTTTTTTCTGCTTTCATTTAGCTGTAATTTTTCTAGTACATATTTTATATAGCCTATTTATATCTATACGATGGTATGAATGAAGTATAATACACGATTACTATAGTGCTGTAATTACACACTAGACACAGACACATGGCGTCGCATATAACAGCATAGCTTATCCCGAGAGCACAGAGATTTAAGTGTGCAATTCGTAGAAGTTTAGACATATTGAGAGGTAATTATTAGATCACGCAGCTTCCGCAATATACACACACAAAAACAATTTGTTATCTTATATAGAGATATCTCATTTCCAAGGGCCCTGCATATATCAACTTAGCCATCAGTATTATATAAATATACTTACAATAGATAAATATACATTCTATCCTTATGAAAGAAGTAAAAGAGCAATTAAAGCAACGGAATTTGTTAGATTAGATGTCGATTAAAGGTGGTTCAATAGGTGTGAGGTATTTGATTTGGAAGGTAATTTTAGAATAGCAGGAAAATCAGCAAAATACTTATTCGCATCTTTATATGAAATCTTATAAGTTTTAAAGTGAGAACTCCAGATTGCTCGTCTCAGCTCGCAATGGCAAACCCAAATTCAATGACCCTTTCTCACCCTTCCTGGCCACATCGGGACGAAATCTTGCTAAAATTGCAAGAACAAGCTATGTATAAGAATTACAATAGTACACATATATATACGGGCCAATATACAAGTGATGCATGATCAAAATACTACAGTAAGATATACAGAGGGCAGAAACTGAAGCTGTATTCTAAATCAATATATGCAACGATCTAGATACTTATGAGATGATTTCAATATTAACTAAATCTAAGGATCAAAGCACTAAAAGAGTGAAGCTTGCAGAAACCCGGGCAGAAAGATCAGATCGGTATAAGGGAGGAAATTCTCTTACAGAAGAAAAAAATGTGTATCTTCGTAATTTGTCTCGGACTGAACTTTTGGCTTTTTCACATATGGGTCCTTGATATAATCGAAAGGTGGTAGTCTTAATCCGTCTTGTCTTCTCTCGAGACTTCCTACATTCTAGAAACATTCAATTGACTTCTATTGGCATACCAAGTAATGGACGCATATGATTGGGCTGATGTACAGCATTTTTATAAGTCTTGAAAATAAATATGTTACTGCACAATATCACTCTTTTGGTATTTATTCATTTCGGTAAAATTAATGTCATTTTTATTACTATACTTATTATTCATTATTAATTTTCCTGAAACATGAGGTATCCGTACTCAGGTCTGCCACTCTAAGGGCTTAACGTTTGGATCTGGCTTTTACTGCTTTTTAAAAACGGGAGTTTTGTACAAATTTTTTTAATTTTGTACTAAAAAACTCCGTTTTAAGAAAGGCAATAAAAAGCGCCCAAACGAAGCCTAAAAGCGAGTGTTTGGTTGTGTAACTGAGAGCATTCTTGGGAGAGAGAAAGAGATGAGAAGTAAAATGTATCTTTATTGATCTGTCAAGTCTAAACCTCTATTACAGGTACATATATATAATACCGAGAAAAGGCATAAAAAGTAAATACAAGGTTATTCTGAGTCCTTATGTATAAGTCGTTTTCTTACAGCCCCCCGCAAATTAATCATTCGGAGTTCGAATGGTTAATTTGGAGCGAAGATAGTTAAAACGAGTATAAGAAAACGGTTTGGTTAAAATATCTGCTATTTGATCTTGAGAGGAGATATGCTGAATTTGGATAGCTCCGGCGTTGATATGTCGACGGATGAAATGATAGTCTATTTCGATGTGCTTCGTCCGGGATTTGAAATACAGGATTTTTGGTGATGGCGATAGCGGATAAGTTATCGCTGTGTATGATAGTTGGCGTTGATTGATCAAGCTGAAGTTCAGAGACGAGTCGGCATAGCCAAAGAACCTCCGATGTGGCTGCAGACAAAGCCCTGTATTCTGCTTCGGTTGAAGACTTGGCCACGGTAGCTTGTTTCTTTACGGACCAAGACATGAGGTTTGGTCCTAGAAAGGTGCAGAAACCGGAGACCGATTTCCGGTCGGAGTTGTCGGATGCCCAGTCGGCGTCCGTGTAAGTGCGAAGTAGCTGGTCTCTGACAGTGATCGGTAGTCCGAAATGTATTGTTCCTTTGATGTAGCGGAGGATGCGTTTGATACACTGGAAGTCATGAACCGTAGGTTTCTGCATATACTGGTATGCTCGGTTGGTAGCAAAAGCTATGTCAGGCCTTGTGATCGACAGGTACTGCAGTGAACCTGCTAATCGACGGTAGGAGGGCGGGTCATGAAAGGCCTGGGCGTTGTCTGGTCGTGGAGAGGAGGCTGGTGCGATCGGTGTAGAGCAAGCTTTGCAGTTGTCGAACCCGGCTTCCTGAATTAGCTTGCTTGCATAGTGTTCTTGTGTTAAAAAGTATCCAGTGTTAGTTTTAATGACTTGGATACCTAGGAAGAGTGAAATAGTACCGAGCTGTTTAAGAGAGAATGCCGTATTTAATTCTTGGAGAAGTGTTTGGATAAGAGATGCGTCATTACCTGTAATGAGAATATCGTCAACGTAGATCAAAACATAGATTCGAATTTGTAATTTATTAAAAATGAGAAGTGAGGGGTCGGAACAACTAAACCCAAAACCGCGTGATTGTAGGAAGCTGGTGAATTTCTGAAACCAAAGTCGCGGTGCCTGTTTTAGACCGTATATGGATTTGTTTAACTTGTAGACGTGATTTGGATGAATTGGATCTTCATAACCGAGAGGTTGACGCATGTAAATGTCGCCAGGTAGGTCGCCGTGGAGGAAGGCATTGGAAATATCCAATTGCAGTATTTGCCAGTCTCGATTGATGGCAAGGGTGAGGAGTGTACGAATTGTAGGCATTTTAGCCACCGGACTAAAGGTCTCGGTGTAATTCTCACCGTATACCTGATTGTAGCCGAGAGCTACCAAGCGAGCTTTGTGATGATCAATCTCACTGGAAGGGTGAAGTTTTAATTTGTAGGTTCATTTGCACCCGAGTATATGTTTGTTGGGCGGTGGAGGTACGAGAGACCAGGTATTTTGTTTTTGCAAAGCATTGAACTCTGTTTGCATAGCCGCTCTCCAATGAGCGTGTTGAACAGCTTGTTTATACATGGAAGGGGTATAGTGCAGCTCGGTATGACTGAGCAGAGTGAAAATTTTCTTTGGTTTGAAAATTCCTGATTTGGATCTGGTTTGTATGGAGTGGGTTGGTTGGGGTTGGGCTAGAATGTTGTGATCAGGATCAGCAGGAGGTGGGACGGGGTTAACGGTTGTGGGAGAGTTGCTGGGTCGGTGAAGTTCCTGAGGAGCAAAGTTGTTGAAAGTGGTAGAAGACGGTATTGGTTTACTGGTGGTGGTGGGAAGAATAGAAGTAAGGATGAGAAGTTTTGGGTGCTGTGGGTGGGGAAGTTGAGGTGGAGCAGTAGAGATAGATGCGGGGGTATTTTGGTAGGGAAAAGTATTTTCACAAAAGACCACATACCGTGAAATAAAAGTCCTGTTAAGTTCTATGTTATAGCATTTGTATCCTTTGTGTTTGCTGGAGTACCCGATGAAGATACAAGGTTGAGATCGAGGTTTGAGCTTGTTGGAGGCGTAAGGTGTGAGCCATGGGTAACAAAGGCAACCAAAGGATCTAAGGTGTGAGTAAGTTGGTTCTTTGTTATACAGCATATGATAAGGGTATTTAAGGACAAGAGATTTGGATGGTAGACGGTTTATCAGATAGGTTGCGGTGGTAATGGCGTCAGCCCAGAATTGATCAGGAACATTGGACTCATGTATAAGGGCACGGGTTAGATCAAGAAGATGGCGGTGCTTCCTTTCGGAGACGCCATTCTGTTCTGGGGTGTGCGGACAACTTAGCTGTTGTACAATGCCATGGTCATTGAGAAAAGTTTGAAACTCTGTACTAGTAAATTCACCGCCACCATCTGAGCGAAGATTTTGCGGTGTGGTGTGGAATTGAGTCTGAATTAAGCTGCAAAGCGATTTAAATTTTGTTAGTGTTTCATTCTTGGAGTTCATAAAAAATAACCAAGATAACCTTGTGTAATCGTCAATAAACACCACATAATAGCGAAAATCATGTAAGGACGGCATTGGGGCCGGCCCCCATACATCCGAGTGTATAATTTGAAACGGATGAGTGGTTGCAGTAATTCGTTTATTAAAGGATTGTTTGTGGCTCTTGGCCATATTACAAGAATTGCAATTAAAGGTAAAAGAAAGATTCTTGAGCTCGGGTAGTTTGTGCGCTAGATATTGTAGTAACTGATTGTTGGGATGGCCCAAGCGGGAAGGCCAAGTTAACGAGTTTGTCACATTGGTGTGGTAGGCTTGCTGGTTGTCACCCGGTTCCAGTTGCAGTTGATAGAGAGCGTTACGGAGATGGCCACGAAGCAGTGGATGATTGTCCTGTATGTC